AAGAAGGCGGGTCCAAGGCTTTCGTAAATTGGCTCCACCGAAGGAGAGCTACTCCTGACTTTTGTCTGTTGAATTGTGGAAGATAAGACCTCGGCTCACCGTTCTACGACCCCGATGATTGTCCTGAGCTTGCGTCCGCCATGTAAAGGACATCGTCAGAGCTATTATTTACGAATAATCACCAAAAACACAGAACCAGGAAAGGTGTCCGACTGAGATTTTACTTAATTCATATGCTTCACTTTGCGATCTTATCTGCTTGTAAGCGAGTGAAAGTGATGCAGGAAGGGGAGCGAATGTGGTCACAACTTTTGTCTATGTAAATAATCTAGCGTATGATCTTTTATTCCTGGGGCTTTTTTCAGCTTTTCGGGTGTGTGTGCGTTGTGTGTATACATCACTCACGAATAGGTTGGCAAATTTTGGGCCTTAAAACAAACTCCAGCTTGGTCAAGTCTTCTTTTACTCAGTGGTTCTTCCTGTTCCCTCTCCTACTCTCTTTCTTTCTCATTTCATTTAAAAGCAAGATATAGTTCTTAATTAGCTTCCTACATTCAAACCTCTTATTCAGGATGCTATTTGTTTTGTTAATTTCAATCGACTTCTTGATCTTCCATTTATCTCTGAAGTCCCAATATCCGGCACAATGTTAGATTTTAACTTATTCAATCTGGCGTAATATAGTGATCATTCGTTCAGCCACCTCTGATTTCTGAATCCATAAACCTTTGCAGGCGGTTTTATGTTCTGTTACCTTCTTATGTATGGTTCGATAGTATCTCCCACATAAAAATTACCACATGAGCACAAAACCTTATAATTTAATCTGCAGAGGGCGTCTGAAGATCCTTTACAAAAGATATGACTAAGGAAAGCGCAAGTATTTCTTTATATATGGTCCTGACGTTCCATTTCCTCTGTAATTCGCCTATCCTTATTGAAAACTGGCAGGATAGAAGCATTTTAAACCTGACGAAAAGTTGTATAATTCCCTGCTTTCTTCTTAATAATGGCTTCCATATACCCTATTTAACAGTCTTTCAAAATTGATAATAATTAATCCTAACTCAACTTAAATTTTCTTTGGCCTTTCTAACTCTTGATCTTGATTATTTGCGTCTGCTAGGCGTAAATTCCTTGTTATTATTTAATTCATTACTCCTACTTTAGCACTATAAGTACGATTCGAGAAGAAATTAAGAGGGAAGCCCGCATTTGTAGGTTTCCTATATACATCCATACCCAGCTTGATCCATCCATCCTCCTGCATCCTGAGCTTAAAAGATAGTATTCGATTTTCAGTAAGTTGGTCAATTTAACTCAATCTTTTTTTCAACTTTTGCGAATGTAGGCTTCTAAGCTCTTAGTACTTTTGGTTTCATTCCATATAAAAAAATCATTAGTATGTGGAACACGGTAGGCAAAAATTTGTCACTTGTTGCAGGAATCATTGTGTACGATTTGAAGTTACGTTTTAGACTGTTGACGAACAAAAAGAGGCCCTTTGATAGGAGTGCAAAATAAAAAAAGTCAAGAAAATCTCTTTGTCTTAAACAGATTTTCGATCTTGAATTCATAGTTGAATTTTACCGCAATCGTGTGAGTAGTCCTTATGTTTCAACCGAATTTAGCATAGCCTTTCTTCCCAAAAAGTCTTCTTATCCAGGCTAGACGGCAGTTTCTACCTCGCTTAAGTCTCACTAGCACCCATAGCAGGACTATAGCTCGGTTGGTTCAGCGTATAATCTTGATACGTAAACCATTAGACAACAGCCGCGAGGGTCCTTGCGTTACGAGACAGACGTGAATTTCAAGGAAAACAGATCCTTTCTCATGTTTCATCAGTAATTTCAGGATTGTAAGTGACCCAAAAACATGCCCTGAAATGCATCCTCATGATTATTTTCATTTTAAAGATTGCTTTTAATCGATATTTTTTGTGGATACCAGATTTCTCATGCTCGTGCTGCTACTTTACCTGTTTGGTGTAGACTGCTATGTTCTCTGTTTTAATATGCATTGCATCTGATATATGAAGAAATATCAGATTTTGGTTACAAATGCCTTGCATAGATCATATGACTAGCATTTTCTAGCAGTGATACTAATACTCCTTAATGTATAATTGGAAATCATAAGTACATGTTTTCCCCGATCCAATCCATTAACCATTTCATTTTTAAGGAATTCTTCTCAATCAACTGACATAGGTCGCTCAGTTTAATTCTGAGTCATTTGAGAAATTAAAACATCTATCAATTTATTTTAGTCTGCTTTAACTGTTGCTAAACTCTTCCTCCGTATTTCCATTTCCTAATATTCCCTATTTACTAAATCGCAAGCTCATTGCATAAATTGAAGATATGAAGACCAAGATGTTGTGGCCTCTGGCATTGCATAAAGATATCTTTCGACTATTAAATAACTATTTTAAACTTCTTATAATTTCTTCATTGCTGACTATACTCGTTTATATCTTTTTATATAAGGCGCACTGGCCGTGCGGGGAGAAAAGGATTTGCATACACCTTTCTAACATCTGACCAGGAGCGACAAGCCGGTGATGTGGTCAGAGCTCTGGAGCAAAGCGGGCACGACGTGCCTTATGAGCTTAGGAATATGTGGGAGAACTATAAGCATAGGATGGAGATGGCAAGTTGCTTTAATTTTGTGCTTAATGAATTTCCATTATTACATCCTTGAGTAGAATATATATTTGGGCAATTTTTAACTTTCAGATGCTATTATCTGGCTTAGTACTCAGGGGGGATTTACCTCAACTAATATTAAAGTTACTGCGCTAAAAAAAGTCTCAACATGTTCTAACTTTATTTTAATTTTGATCCACATTATATTTTAGGTACAAAGCCTTTTTTAAGGTTAATTGCTTTTTATTTCTTTAGATAAAAATATAACTTTTATTTCGTGTATACCAGTACGTATTTCGGTCATCTTAATCTTTACATGTGCTTTTCTTCAAATTACACTTATTTTGTGTCCTATCATTTTGCACCTCTATAATTATCATCGTCAATTTATATTACACTTTGTTCATCATTGATAATAATATTGTATCGTTTAGACTTGATATATAAAGTAACTAACAAAAAGATCTATTAGCAAATAAAAATTACTCTGTTACATCTTGAAATTCTATTCAACTGCCAGGATCATCACGTTTTCTCTTGTCTAAATAATGTGTTTTCAATATAGTAATTGGTATAGCATAACTTATAGTTCTACATCAAACTGCACGCAGTTTCCGGTTCTTTTTTATACAGACGAAGAGTAAATGGGTTTCAATGAATCTCCTGAGATAAGATTGTTGGGGATACTTTCATTTCTCATGAAAGGGCATGAAGAAGATATTCTTAAGTCGATCTCATTAGAAGAGAACGGCTGAATCCCGTTGTACTGCAGCCGTTTGGCTTTTATACGACATTCAGGTTGGTGCAATCCTCGAGACCTCCCTCATTTCGGGTGACAACGAGCTGAGCTTTCGTCCATCATACAATGGACATTATCAGAGCTTTAACACATTCCTGTAAGTCTCATGTTAACATTAGGTCAAGAAAACTATCCAGTTTTATCCTACCTCGTACTGTTGCAGTACAACGGGATTCAGCCATCTCTTCTGGTGAGATCGACCTACGAATCTCTTCTTCATGTACTTTTTTACGAAACAATCTTTTTTATACTTTTAACTTATTGACAATGTGTCCCTCATCACATCTATGGCTAATATGCCTAAGTGCAGAAGCTCCAAATTTGAATGAATTACTAAAAACTATAGGCTTTTTTAAAGAAATTTATTGCTTTTAATTTCGTTAAAGTTGTTGCCTTTGAGCAATCTTATAGATGGAATTTGAATCCTTCTTTTCTATCTCATGCCTGTTTTTACGCAATTAAATTCTGTGAAAATTTACACTTTTCTTTCTTTAGGAAGGCAAAAAAGTGTTCTGTTCCTCCGGATTCCGTGGGAAAGGCTTCCAATTCGACGAGGCTGAGGCACAACTTACTAACGAGCGCAAGCGCTTCCAAAAGGCGGCTTTCGGAGTCGAAGATTCAGATGAGGAAGATGGCGAAGGTGGAGGGGACCCGGGATCCGTTGATTGGGATGCTAAGATCGAAGACATGTTTAACACTAAACGTAAAGTCACTGATGTTTCCAAGTCCTCAGTCCAGGCGCAATTAGTCCAACATAAAGTTCAAATTCCAATTCCTCAGTCTCTTGCTGAAGGGTATGATAGCTACTTTAAGAATTTTTGATACATATTTTCAGCTTAGCGCAATTATTTCAATTCCATACAGCTGTTTTTAAACGAAAACATTCAGATGGTTTTCACATATTTTCTTTATAGGTGCTTTAACACTATTTCCTTTCGGGACATGCTTTTGTTCATTCCTGTACATTCTTAATCACCTTTCTTCGATGACAGTTTTTCATCATAGTTTTGCCTCTATCTGTTGGGCTGCTCTTAGTTATAGAAGCAAGTTTTAGTTACCCGACCACGCTTGAACAGTTAACCAAGTTGTCTTGTCATAAGCTCCTTTGATTTAGGCATGTCTAAGCTTCTAGCCTAACAAAAGCAAGCATAATGGTTTACGTTGAACTGATTGAACATGATATATAATTCTTTCTATTCTCATTGCTTACCCACAATTCTACGACCAAATTATTTCGAGGTATTGTTGCTATTTTCTAAATAGCCAGATTAGGAGTCACGGTCACTTTTATTTGGACCATTGAGTTCCGCCCCTCTTTTCACTTACATGTTTTTTTCACTTGTTTTTCATTTGACTATAAAGCGAAAACACTTAATCAAGCAATTCTATTAGCTTCTTCGTCATGATATAAATACTTATCAAAATTCAAGGAACCAGTATAATGGATATGACACAGGAAAATAACTTTCTCTATAGTTATTGTTCTTCTTCTGTCACTTATCCTTCGCACCTATCTTTTTAGACCAATCAGTGCCCAGCTTGCTTTGGCTCGTCAAAAAGCAGCTCT